TCAGTTATGGCCATTGATCAAGGAGAATCAGCCAAGCGTCTGCCTGCCATCAGGACTTTACCTACTGTCTACTCGTCTAGGGAACTTGGTCACAGGCACGGTCACAAGGCCCCAAGAAAAGTTACTTCAGAAAGACGAGACGGCAAAGTGGGAAGCTGCGTGCACAATGGATAGCAAAATCACAATACTAACGGTGCAGACGCCAACAACACAATCAGGCGAGGACGAAGATTCCTTTGAAAAGTATCTTGTCATGGAGTTCGCAGGAACGGAAGAATTCATGAGCTCCGAAAAAGTGGCACAAGAAAAAATCGACCAGCAGGTTTGGAACCATTTCAAGGAGACCATCGAAAAAAGAGAGGATGGTTACTACGTGCGTTTACCATGGAAGGCAATACCATTCGAGCTCCCTGACAACAAGGCCATCGCACTGCGAAGATTGGAAAGCGTTCGGAATACGTTGCAGAAGGACGAAAAACTGCTCGAACAGTACAAGAAGTCTTTGAAGAACAACTCAAAGCAAACATACTGGAAGAAATACGCGACGACTCCGTCGCTTTGGGTGAACACATTCACTATGTCCCCCACCAGGCAGTGATTACTCCACAAAAAACCACTACAAAACTGCGGATCGTGTTCGATGCTTCAGCGCATTACAAAGCCTCACCTTCGCTGAACGACGTGTTACACAGAGGGCCAGTCATACTTCCACAACTCTATGGCCTCCTGTTACGTTTCCGAATAGGAAAAATCGCAATAATTTCGGACGTGGAAAAGGCATTTCTACAAGTGCGACTTCATGAAGCTGATAGAGATGCTACCAGATGTCTGTGGCTACGAAACCACAGATCACCACCTACCTCGGAAAATATCAAGACCCTCCGATTCACACGCGTCACCTTCGGCCTCGTCACGTCACCCTTTTTGTTAGCAGCAACCACACATTTTCACCTCGACCAATATCCCGAAGATCGGCTTCTCACAACGGAGATCAAGGAGAATATGTACGTCGATAATCTCATGATGACGGCCGACACCGAAGAAGAGGCGAATCATATTTACCATCGAACCAAAAGGATATTCAACGATCTGAAGATGAATCTCCGTGAGTATGTGACCAACAATGCTAACGTCGCATCAAAATTCGACACGAAAGACGCATCTTCGGAAACCAAGCCGAAAGTTCTAGGTATCAGATGGAACTCCCGTGAAGACACCATAGATGTCTCATGTGCAATGGAAAATCACTCGGAAGTATCTAAAAGAAAGGTTGCCAGCATGATTGCTTCAGTCTACGACCCGATGGGATGGATGCTTCCTTTGATGCACAGAGCAAAGCTTTTCTTGCGAGAGCTATGGCAGATAAATTGTGATTGGGATACGCCCTTGCCGCCCGATCTCTACAAAAAATGGAAGAAGATTTGTGAAGGCATGCATGGCTTTACAAAAACTCTGCCACGCTTCGTCTGCACAAGAATGACGGATGCTATTCTTATAACGTTCGCGGACGCAAGCGAGGAAGCTATCGCAGCATGCAGTTATCTACGGTTAGGATCCAATTCCACGCAACTTTTGATGGCAAAAGGGAAACTCCCTTCACTCAGAGGAAAATCGACTATACCGAAACGGGAATTGGATGCAGTGACGTTAGCGTTACGGATAACGAATTCAATCTTAACACAATTGCAATCAGTGCTACAAGTCAATCAAGTCTTCGTATTTTCTGACTCAGAGATCGTGCTAAGCTGGATAAGAAAGAACCCTTTGAAGGACGTTGGACCAGTGATATTCCGAAGGCTGCTTGAGATAAACAAGATTTTGAAGCATCTCAATGACCAGGGATACACAATTCATTTCCACTACGTCACGTCCGAAGATAATCCAGCAGACGCAGGCACAAGAGGACTAAATCTCGAAGAACTGCAAAACCACATGTGGTGGACAGGTCCGGAATTTCTCCAAAATCCACAGCAGCAATGGTCACAAAGCGATTGGCACGTCACAATGGAAAGCACCGTCAGGGACGGAGAGGAAGTCTCAGTGAAGGAAAAACAAGTTCTTGCAACTAGAACTGCCGAAGAGTGCCAAAGTGAGGGAGACACGGCAGTACTGTCATTGTTGCAGCGACGCACATGGCAGCAAACAAGGCGCATTGTAGCCTGGATCCTTCGCTTCGTCAGGAACGTTGTAGGACAGGCAAATACCAACAACCAGTCACCCATATTATTATCTACGCTACTTTCCGTACCGAGGAACGCCGTGGGAACAAGGCTAAACGGAAAGGAGATACTCATCGCAGGAAAGCTGCTCATAAGGCTTCATCAACAGCAAATAACCTCAAAAGTCATCAACTCCATGCAACGGCTGAATATCAAGAAAGATGCCGAAGGCCTTTTCCGATGTTATGGGCGATTGGGAAACAGCGACCTAGATGATGACGCCAAAATTCCGTTGATCATCCTACAAAACTCGATGTTGGCGGAAAGAATCATCGACGACTGCCACGGCAGAGGACATCTATCCGTAAGCCATACTATGGCGAACATACGTCGGCAGTATTGGATACCAAAACTGCGAGCACAGGTCACGCGGTTTGTGAGACGATGTGTACCATGCCAAAAGTTCAACAATCTGCCTTACAAGTATCCGGAGCAGACAGATCTTCCTGCGAGACGAGTGCAAAAATCTAGACCGTTTGAGCATGTCGGATTGGATTATTACGGACCCTTGCCAATTGCACTACCTGATGGAACAGATGGTAAATGTTACGGAAGCATAATCACGTGCATGACCACAAGATTAATCCATCTGGACATAGTTTCCGACATGTCGACAACAGCTTTCCTCTGGATGTTGCGGCGCTTCTTTGCAAGAAGGGGAGTTCCACGATCAATCACCAGTGATAACGCTCCCACGTTCATGCTAGGAGAAACTATACTCAGAGAAGCGATTCAAGCTGCCGAAAGCGATCCTGTATTGAGCGTGAAGTACTCGACAAGGAAATTGAATGGCATTACAACACTCCATACGCACCGTGGCAAGGAGGCTTCTACGAACGTCTGATAAAGTCCGTAAAGCAAACACTGTACAAAACTCTGGGCAAATGCGTGCTAAGCTTCGAAGAGCTAACTACGGTTACCATTGGGATCGAAGCGATCCTGAACACGAGACCCCTGTTATACGTGGAATCAGAATTCGCAAACGAAAAGATATTAAGGCCGATCGACTTCTTACAAAATGAGATGAGGATCTCTTATCCACTGGATGCGGTAAATGATGAAGGAGAGGATCCGTCTTACTTGCCACCAGCTGAGAAAGCCTTGCTTCGTACAAAGGCGCAAGCAGTCCAAGCCTTGCAATCTTCTTGCAAACTGACCGAGAAATTTTGGCAGCTGTGGCGAAATCAATACTTGACGGCTCTCAGAGAGAAACATCAACGCCAAGTAGGAAGTCAAAGAAGTTCCGAAGGTACTCCGAAGGTAGGCGAAGTTGTCTTGCTGTGTGATCCAGTCCAGCCAAGACATTCCTGGAAAGTCGGACGAATAGAAGAACTTGTCAAAAACACCGAAGGAGTTATAAGGGAAGCTCTGGTGAAACTCCCATCTCAAAGAAAGATCCGCCGGCCTCTCAACCTTCTTGTACCACTAGAATTAGAAGAGGGGGAACAACAAGCGCAAGAACCCGCTACCGCGAGCACCGACAGTAACAATCAACTGGAGGAAGCACAGACCTCGCGATATGATCTGCGACCTAACCGGAGAGTGGATTACAAAGGAATAAACGCGATGTCCATACAAGTGAAACACTTCCAGACGAACATGCTTCTATTGATCTGTCTTCTGAGCGCACTTTGCGGAAACGCGAATGCTCTGGCAAAGGTACAAGCGAAGAAAACACATTCAATCAAATGCATTCCAGGAGGAGTTGAGTTGCTTTCCATGGAGACTGTCCCATATGAGGTCTGTGCGGAAGATTATTGCAAATCAATTTCGGTGCCGAAGACAAACGAGACAATCCATTTTCCGCCACAGATAACCCTCTATGAACAGTTCGTACAATGGAAACTTCTGTACAATGAAACAATCAGGATAATAGAAACTACCTGCCCGCCAACTCCGTTCTGCGACCAGAACGATTGCATACTCTGTTCAGCAGTCATTTTCAACCCTGAGTGTTGGCCTGTTGGAGCTATCGTAGCGACTACCATAGTCATCTACTTTTTCATAACTGGATGCTACGTATTCTGTTATGTGCCGCTCACGCTCGGAAAGCCATGTCGGATCGCATTACGCCTTTTGTGGAACGGCATCAAGAGCGTTATTCGCAGAGGTTGCCGACCTTTACAACGAGCACGAAGACGACAGCAAATCCGAGCAGCGGAACTTATAGAACTTCTAGCTATTGTCGCAGTGATAAGCACAACAGTCAATACAGCAGAAGGATGTCAACAAGTGAATCTGTTCTCGCACAAATCTACTGTGTGCACAAAGGCAAATGGAACCGAGACCTGCAAGATTCACGTGTCAGAAGTCCTCAAAATCAACCCTTTCAAAAGAGAGGCATGTTTCAGACTAACAAGGAACAACTCGACTATTCATGAAGTGAGGGCATCATGGAAACTGCTCAGTCTTACCTGCGAACAAGAGCACGAAATGTACACTCGGGACACGATCTACAATGTGGTGGACAGCAAAAGATGCCCGCACGTAGGTTCCTGCGTAGGAAACAAATGCGCGTCTATAAACGCCACAAGCCTCTTACCGGAGCTGGAGAAAGGGAATCACTATCCAGGAATCACGACCTGTGTCGAATCCTGTGGAGGACCAGGGTGCGATTGTTTCTATTGGAGCTCAGGCTGCCTTTTCTATCGCATCTACCTCACCCCAGTTTCCCCACAAGTGTTCGAAATTTTCCACTGCAACCGCTGGACGCTGGCAGCCAAAGTCAAGTTTACAAACTTTGATGCAATACAAGGAGTGACACGCATATTTACGGCAATCATGGTTCCCAATGTACCCATCATCTGGAACGCGTTCACTCTCACACTAACCTCGGTAACCATCCCACCAATTCCGCTGCTAAACACAGCTTTCATCACCGATGGAAACAACACGGCACTCTGGAATTCCGTGATGAAAGCGCCTCTTTGGTGCACCAACAAAACTGCAGCAGAACAACTGGACTGCACGGTTATAGACAACTGCCAATGTGCACCAGCGGAAGTCCAAGCTACCTGCAAATGCCGAGACGTAAGCATCTCTGAGATGTTTGGGGACGTCAGAAATCGTCTGCCAGCTATATTTCCTGCGGTTTCATTCAAGCAAAACGACGAAGGACAAGTAAAAGCTGAGGTACAGAGCCTAACGACAGCGGAGATCATCGTAACCATCCAAGAAAATGTACGAACAAATGTGGTGGTGGATAGCACAGTCTGCACAATCGCGGATGCAATTCTAACAGGTTGCTATAAATGCGCCAGGGGCGCAAAAGCTACAATTAAGTGTACGGCACCAAAGCAAACTCAAGCCGAAATCATCTGCGAGTCTGCCAGTTTCACTGTGGACTGCGACCAACAAGGAGCGCTTTCGGAGCTTCAGTTCAGCCTAGATCGAGCGAGAGTGCAAATGACATGCTCAGTGTCTTGTGGAACAATTGTAACAACTTTTGAAGTAGGAGGCATTCTCAGATTCACACAAACAGCTCATGGAATGATGACACAATGGCTGTCTGGAAACGGAGACCAAGCAGCAGAAACTCAGTGGCCAGATTTTTGGCACATCGCGGAAGTCTTCCTGCAGTGGTACAAAACGCTGATAGTAGCAGTAATCGCGCTACTAATCGTTTTGGGAATCACCTACGCTTGTTTTTCACTGCAAGGAGTGTGTTGTGGATTCCGCTTTCTTAAAGGAATTATGCTGCTCATACTACTGTTTTTTCGTCTCCTATGCCGACCTTTCTGCCTATTGCAGTCAGAAATCAAAGAAAAGCTTCATGAGAAACTCCTCTAAGATTTTGCGATATTATTCTCTGAAAAAGGCAACTTATCATCATCCTTCACCCGTTGATATCGTTCTACCGCCTCCTCCACCGCCAGCTGAAACTGAGTCAGTCGATTTTAACGTCACCGAAACCATCGTTCTACCGAAGAGTTCTGACAAACTGGATTTCTCAAGGAGATGGCTTCAAGACGATCTTATGTCGTTGGCTCATCAGCCACCGGTACCCATTATGATGATGCCAAAGCAGTGCTCAAATTACAACGACGTCTATGAGCATTCATTGGGCAGCTGCTCGGCCGAAATTGCTGCTCTTAACCTAGCCGAAAAGAGGACGCTAGAAGCAGAATATGGAGGCGAAGGAGACGATTGATGGAGAATAACGATCATCAAGCAGGCCCGGAGTGTCGAGAAACTCGACCGATAATTTCTATATTTTCTCTGTATTTTCTGTTTGATGATTCATTTTTGATTGCCTTTGAAAGCTGAGTGCGCGGCAAGCTCTTTCTTTGTACGCTGCAGCTGCGCCGAGAATCAAGTAAAAAGTAAGGGGGGCCGCAGCTGGCGACCTCCTCCTTTCGTTCTTGACTCAAGCGTCATTTGATTGTCATTGCTTCATCTTATTTGGTTGTCTTATATTTACTTACATTCTTAGCGCCTTTACTTGCTTATGGTTCAGGTAGACAAAAACATATCAAGTATTTTATCCCTAACGTTTGCCATAATCAGAATCTCATGTTAAGCTGGTATTTTATTTTGTGTGCATTATCGTTTATTTGAATTTTATAGTTGTTAATAAAGGTTTAATTACCCAAGTTTGAGGTATCTCCTCGAGCACAACTCCGTCACACTAAAGACCCGCGTGGCAGTTGATATCTTGGTGTCTTGGTCTAGTGGTATTCGACGGTTATAGTACTGACTATATATAGGACCCGTCCATTTGTTACAAGGATCATCAAAAAGGTAATAAAAATACCTGAATACTTAATTTCTCATAATGTTTTTCAGTGTATTTACAAGTATTATGACATGAGATGTGAAGCTAGGGCGGCGACATGAAAGTCTGTCAAGCATGCTTTAAATTCTCGCGTACGAAGGAGACGAAAGAAGAATACAACTGTTGTGAATCAGGATACGCTAGGGAAGGAAGCTGGGTCAGCGATATTGACATCAGGCTGAGAATAATCTTTTCTTTTAATTGATGATATGAAATAACTAGTGATTTTTGATTGTTTTGAGAGTTAGTTTCACTCTATCTTCTTTTGCAAACTTTAAGTTTTCGTATTCTTATGTCAGTAATCTATTTGATGGCGGATTTGCTTGGTGACTCTTGTGGTCTTCAGGTCTTGAAGATTCCTGTCTTCGATAAGTCCAGAGTTTAGATTTTTTTGTACCGCAATGATGCTTGAAATTGCCGCAATTAAGTCATGTGAAACTTGAGCATTATTGATTAACTGAAAACAACTTTATCAGTTTTGACGATTCTTCGCCAATGTTGAGTTTGGGAGTGGAAGTTGGCGTAGAGGGAGAAGCGAGGCTGCGTCTTCCACAGGCTATGACATGCACGCATAGGATCATGCCATGCTACACTCCCCCCTTCCCCCTTCGCCCGCCTCACTTGCGATTGCAGCACGTAGCGTACGTTGCGAGCACACGATTTGTAACAATGGCAGTTTGTACTGTAACACGCGTTCACACCTCGCATCGCGTGCTCCGCGGTAACGACCAGTTTGTTCGATAATAAAATGCTTGTACCTATCGTAATAAAAAAAACTGGGTAAAGTGAAAACCTCATTTGGAAATCAGCAGGGCCAGATGGGTTGTAGTCTGTCGAGAACGGGTTTGCCTCACGTGACTGAACAGAGGAAGTCACGAGCGTTGTTGTGGCTTACTGCGGTAGGGAAAAATATATATGTGATCAAAATTTTTCTCGTTCGCAATTCTCGGTAGTTACCTTCTTTTGTAAGGGTTCTTTCAGACTACTTTGCAGTCTGTGACGTCGTACACTGCTGCGCGCACGAAATTATGCTACACCCCGCCCCTTCCCTCCCCCCCCCCCCCCCAACTGCGAAGGCAGCAGGCAGGCGCCGCTCCTGCCGCTGTCTAAGACGCAGCCTGCGGAAATCATTCGGTTGCAACTCATTGCCTCACTCATATGTGCAGTTGCGAACAGTTGTTGCTAATGTACGCCTTGAATGCTTCGCTACTAATGCATCTCGATTTTTGTGAAAGATGTCAAACCAATGTACTCTTTACAGATGCGTTCCTTTTGTACTTTATGCTCTGCTAATGTGCGAATCGACATCTTATTCTTTGGGATCAACTATTTTTTCTATTCAGATAACGTATTGTTTATTATTGTTCAACAGAACGCTGATGGGTGCGTAGCAAGTGGTACCCAGGCAGCCGACTGCTGCCGCAGCCAGCCGCCAGAGCTGCCGGCAAAACCGCTGCAGATGGTACAGCAATTACGCTCGTCGTCTAAAGCTCTTGCCGAGAGGTTTTCTCGCACCTCGTCGCTCTGAGGTGCGATATCAGCCTAAGGAAAGCGTGATATACTCGATATCTATAATTCTGAACAGCAGAAAATCCATGTTTTTTGAGAAGCAAGCAAATAAGCAAAGAAAATGATCACAAATTCAAATCACTTCAAAAACTCAAAGGTAGCAGAAGCTGAAAAGTTCAGAAGTTTCTAAAATTTCTAGAGATTTTTTCCTTGCTTTTACAAAACGGACGAGAACAGTTACAGGAAAATGTCATGGATAACGAACGGACGAGAACAGTTACAGGAAAATGTCATGGATAACGGTAAGAAAACTCGTCAAAATGATTATTTCGAATACAGTGTTAAGCGAGCTAAATAAGGCAAAGAAAGTCACTCAAATTGAGTAAAATAAAAGTCAATAATAAAAGATGAAAATACGCCACATCTGCTGATTTTGAGAATATAAAAAATTAATAATGAAAAAAATTCGAAATTCACAACTCACTGCAAATAATAAAAACAAAACCGCATTTCGGGTTCTGAAGTGTTTATAAAAATAATCGAATTCTTAGAATTCTTCATTGAAAAATAAGGATCCTTAAAACTACAGCGTCATTGGATATTTATTGTACTTTGATTTCATAATTTGTAACAGAAGAAACTGTTTGATTTCCTATTCATTCATTTTCGTAATTGTTTGTGAATTTTTGAAAATTTTTCGGTGTAGTTTTGCATTCGACTGTATAGTTCTCAATGAAATATGGCTTTTCTCTGCTGTTTAAAATAATATAGATACTGAGGATATTACGCTATCATTGACTCACTCAATTTGATTGACCTACTTTGCCTTATTTAGCTCGATTGACATCACTATGTATGAAATAATCATTTTGACACAGTTTTCTTAACGTTGTATCCATGACATTTTCCTGTAATTGTTCTCGTCCATATTTCGACGTAAAAGAGAGAAAATTGTTTCAGAAATTTGAGAATTTTTAATTTTTTCAGCTTCTGCTTCCTTTGAAGTTTTTGAAGTGATTTGATTTTGTGATCATTTTCCTCTAGAAAAACCCTCCCCTTCACCTTTGTTTATCTGCATGTTTCTCAAAAAACACGAAATTCTTGCTGTTTAAAATGATATAAATATCGGGGATATCACGCTTTCTTGAGGCTGATTTCGCACCTCAGAGCGACGAGGTGCGAGGAATCCTCTCGGCAAGAGTTTTAGACGATTAGCGTAATTACTGTACCAGTTGCAGCGGCTTTGCCGGCAGCTCTGGCGGCTGGCTGCGGCAGCAGTCGGCTGCCCAGGTACCACTTGCACGCCTCCCAACGCTGATGGAAAACCGATACATCGTTGTATTCTTGGCTTCATCCCAGATCCCACTACGTTGCTTCCGTTTCTTTATCCCAGGGACGCCATCGGTTGGGAGGGCACTCAAAGTGGAAGAGGACGACGGACTCAGTATTAGGCTAACATTAGTTGATGTAGACTTTTCTATCTTGTATTAAAGTCAAAGCTCTGTCTCTCTGGTAGTGTGAGAAGGTGATGTTTATGGAAGTGAAAAATGTTGATCTTTATCATGCTGTATCGACAGCGCCGGGCAGATTCGGATATGCCAACTAGTTCACTAATGCCTTTTATAATGGCACAAAGACAATTGCGAGCAGAAGAGTAATGTCAGGCCATTTCTGAGCTGGTCACCGGCATGGGCGATTAAGAGGGCTAGTGTGCGCTTTGAATCTGAGTTTCGCATCTTCCAGAAAATTTTATCACAAGCGGAGACGTGCCACCATCCCTAAACGAAGAAGAGAGCAGAGTCAGGTTACCATAAAGGCCGAACTAAGACCGCTACCGCTTTGAACGATGCACCTGAAGAGAATCACTTCGCTGAATAGAGTATCACTTCGAAGGATGCTTTTTTCAACAACGATTTCATCGACTTCTGGTACGAAACCGCACTTTATTAGACCGAATATCAAAAAGCAGATGCCTTTAGATGCAGTAAAATACAATGTCCTCTTCCAAGAAAAAGACGTACAACGATCATTGCGCGCTGGAAACATATGCCAAATTATATTGAATTTAGAGGAACCGTTTACGACGATAATTCTGACGGGCTGCAACACGTCGAAGACCGACCTGCAACTGCAGATAGAATGCACATCGAAAAGGTCATAAAGATGCCCAAAAGTTTTCAGCGTTTTCTAGTGTTTTCAAAAGTACTACGACGTGGCAGTTGAAGCTAGGGAGATACATGGGAGTCTGCTAAGAATGCTTACAATAATCGAGCACAAAGAACTAAAAAGAGATACTACTTTTGTGAATAATTCCGAAGAAGATTTTATAGATAAAGACTGGTCCAGCGAAAGTATAGACGCCACGGATAAAAACCTAGACCCGTTTATGTTTGATGATGACGATGACATGGGGCTAGTAGTAATTTTTGATAATGTTATGTGTTTAGTATCCTTGAACTTGCTTTGGAGACTTTATTTTCTTGGTTAACTTATATGGCAGTATCTTATATGTTAGAATAATAATGAAAACAATAACAAAATATGCAATAAAGGACTCTACGCAATTATGCTGAAATTTTCGCAACAAAATCATGTGCATGATTGAGCATCATTAATTACGAATCAAACCGTCACTATCCATTTCATGGGTTGTTTAGCATCACCCACTTCCAGCGTTTACATGAATGGTTGTAAAGCCATTCAAGGTAATGCATATTCATGGAACTACTACTGCTCTACTCGAAGCTTTTGAGCTGAAAATTGTTCATTTGAGCAACAATATATGTTGCTAATCTCATGACACATGACAGTGCAATACAATGCACCATGCACCACAGGCATATGTATACTAAAAGATTCGTCTCATCAAGCTGAAGCTAAAATTTCTCGCAGATTCCAAATAAAGTTGTTACAGAAGAAGTTATAACTAAATTCTGCAAGTCCCGCGAATCCCTTGAAACGTGGAATTCCTTGCATACCGTAAATCTCGAGAATCCAGCAGTTTTGGCCGGATTCATTTCATTTTATTTCATTCATACGCTCGAGGAGTTCCAAATCAATAACATCAAAGTGCTAGTCACATGAAAACACAACAGCAACAAAAAATCATCACGTCATCCCAAGCCCAGTCCAAGCGACTGTGTAAAGAAATAGTATAGCGATAGCGTAAAGAGCTTGCATCACATGTTCTGGGGACGTAATCTCGCGCTTGCATGGACTCTGTGGAGACGTATCCATGCTCCCGCGTTTGCCAGCAAGGAACGATTTTATGAATTCGTAAAAGCAAGCCGGAAGTTTGGCTGGCGGGTATACTGGCAAGCCCCGCCCAACACGGCTTGCTGGGGAGGGTCCTGAGCTCCGATGATGATTAGGAAGTTTGCAAATTAAGCAAGCGTAGTCAGAGTTAGCACGTTGTATGAACTAGACAAGTTGTCTGCTATTCTGGCTCGAAACTACATGATGCTCAAGTTAGTAGAATAACAAGTCCTACAAAGCAGAAAAAAAGTCGAGGTAAGCGAGTTCTACCTGCAAAAAAAGAAACCATTCAAGTTCCTTTTCTTGATTTCACGTTTGAATGATTTGCTATTTTCGCAGGCTAAAAGTTATTTAGGTAGTTTTCCAACATTCTCGATGCACGAACAAAAAACTCATTCTCGAACAAGGTACAAAACCGATTCCGCCCACCGCTGTTGGTAAATAAATGAAAAATCCACTAGTCCTTCCATAACTAGGCTTAAACACCCAGTATTTAGAAGGTCTCAGCTTAGTTTCGCCTTGTAAATCCTGAATGCAAGTACAAGATCGTGAATAACTCTTCGATATGAGAGGTATTCAAGACCTAGTGTTGTTAAGCGAGTAATAATGTGGGAGCAAACGTGGATATGCTGGGTTAGGAAAACAACGGTAAAAGAGAAGTTTGGTAAAAACTCTCTGAACGTTTTCCGGGCTATCTTTGTGCTTCCTAAGAGAGGGGCTCCATGCCGGACATGCATATTCTAAAACAGGAATCACGAATGTTTTGTAAAGTTTCAATAGTATGTTGGAATTATTGCATTTAATATTATGAAAAATAGTGTACAAAACTGAATATGCACGAGATGTGACGGAAGCGACTTTTAAGACCAAGATATTCGATACCAAGAAAGATATCGATTATATTAAACAAAGTAATTATGGTGGAGTCATCCTGACGTAGTGTCGCACTTCATTGTCTGTAAAGCGTCACCATCTGCAAATCACCAAAAGGATCAGATATGGTGCAGGAATAGAACAAAGGTATCTATCAGGCTCGGAGAATTCAGCAGTGAATAGGTCGTTCGACTTGTGACAGTGAACTTCATCTTTTGAGCACCGTGCGGTCAAAGAATCAACGATATGTGTTCTGCACTGATCAGCTTCTGAACATCAATGCTTTTTTGAAGCACAGAGAGGAATCTATCAAGGAGATGCATGTCAACGCTCATACTCATTACTTGTCTTCGGTATGCAACTGATTTTATTCCGTGGAAGATAGAGATGGCTAATATATCTGTGAAAGACAGCTCCGTTACCTAGCTTTTTCGGACGACGTTGTGTAGCACGCAATTCAGCTCGACTCCATACAATGGCTCAAAATCTTCTTAAGCGTGCCACCAGATCAATTTTAGATCACCACGCTAATAAAGCCAAGTAGATGGGTTGAGATAGAGAACGAACTTGAACTTTTGACTACCACCTGAACAGCAACGTCAAAAAAGGCGTGATTTCCCTTCATCTTGGTCGACAGATGCAGTGTCCATGTGATCATGAAAAGGGTTTTCGGAAGCATTGGAATGGCCTATAACACTCTTGGCAAGTTATGGAATCTTCTCACTAACAAGAATGTCGCTGTATTTAAAGTGTAGTTGCTTTGACGGTGTTTTTCCCGGCACATTCGTACGGATGCGAAACGAATTAGATCTCACTAACGGTACTCCTTGAATGCCAAAGAGCGATGGGATTAACGCTTTAATTTCAGTTGACAGATCTACTACGAAACTGAAGGATGAGGTTTCAACAGTCCGACGAAGGAATGGCGATTTGCTAGAAGAGTATCCCTAGAGCAAGGGTCTTATGTTATGATTATGTGCTGTACAGAGATATTTTTGAGAATGATGAAGTGAACTGGGAAGAGTGAAGGCCACACAGCGAACATGCCTCAAAGAACATTTCCACAAAATATCCCAGACTACTTTTTTTGAAAGCTGATTTGTCAAGTCCATTGGATATGTAGCGATGCGAGTAATAATTTGACACCAGAACCTAAACCAAGATCTAACAAAAGTCATAGCTTGATTTTTGGTTCATGTCAGAAATTCAACAATCATTCACTTCTAGGCGGAACCGACAAGCGCTCGTTTCGGCTATGTGTCACACCTACCGTAACTCACTCTCAACAAGTGAAGTCGTTGTGATTTGTGGATGTGAGATAAGCGGAGGCGATAAGAGCTATTGCTTACGCTGAACTCACCAGGGACCAACGTGAGCACCGCGAAACGCACCCACAAAAGTTCTTATATGTACACAATTCATTCAAAATATACATATACAATCAATTATTAGCAAAACAGTGATATCGGTCAAAGTGAGCTGTCCTGGGTACTTTGGGTTGATCCGCTTGAGTCCAACGTAGAGAGATCTACACGAGGGAAGCGCATCTAAAAATGGGAATATCGTTGATGCTTGCTAAGATTCCAAAAAGTACACAAACCTTCCCAAGTCCTCTCTCTTTGAGTCGTCTTTGGTATTGTTCTCTTGTTGTTTGTAGCACTGAATGACAGCGTTCGGGAACGCGAACGGTCAAACCGGTTCGAGATCCAACATCAACATCTAGATACTCTGAAAACACATATTGTTTTGAAATAGGCAATGAAGAAGCCAATGTGTTCCGAATTTTGAGGTAATAATTGAGAGAGGTCGAACCTCAATGTATGAAGAAAAAGTTGGGGAAGAAGGAAAAAAGCTAAAAATGAGAGCTGAAATGCAAAAAGGGAGTCCTGGTTTTTTGAAGTAGGATTTATATTGACAGCGATTTTCAAAAGTAAGACTATTTAAAGTTGTAAAACTTTCCTTCTTATGTCCGCTTTTCCCTTTCCTCTCCTGTATACTTTTCAAAAGCGAACGCTTCCTACTCGAAAAGAAAAAAGCTTACGAGAGTCACTTCCTCGTCTGTCCGGTCGAGACAGTTGAGGAGTAAGAGATGTAGGCACTGCACCATCGAAGGGAAACTGAGGCGTTGGCCGGTCGGGAATAAGTGAAGAACTATGGAAAAGTGGAGAGCGACAGACCTGAAACGGTAGAGTTAGATATGTCAGTCAAATTATGGAGGTCTAAGCAAAAGATATGTTTCTATCTGACCTGTATAGGAGGTTTGGCAGCAATGTTGGCAGCATGCATGAAATCGGCCATCTGTTCCGGAACAGCTCGCAATGCTTTTTGAGCTATACGAGATCGATTTTCAGAAAGTGTGTCGGACGCATCAATCAAATCAGCAATGGTGATCAGCTGAAAATGATAGGAATCGATCCATAGCCTAAGTGTGCGTGCAGGCCCTTTTGAAAATTCGACAGAAGTGGTCGCTCTGACCAATCACAGCAAGCGTGGACCAATCAGAGAACGCGCTGCGTTACAAGCGGTTCAAGGAAGCCGTTTTCCGGGCAGGTGCCAACAACCCACCTGTAAACATGGTCTCACGCCTTCTTTCCGCTTGGTTGCCAACTTCAACAAAGGGTTAAAGTCAGCGCTTCCAATGCCAATGATAATTACAGACAATGGAGCGTCCGCCGCAGCCACTATAGCAGAGTGAAGCTCCTGAAAGTTGATAGTTGGTATATAAAGAATATTGGTGTCATTAGTCGGAGGAACCTTATGTCTCACAGTTAACAATCCCAGAAAGAGAAAAAACTACACATGAGCAACTGTAAGCACACTTTCTACAAGGATACAATTTCATGAATGAGTTTGGCAAAAAGCTAACTATACCTTCAAATCCATTGGGACTCCTCGAGTAAAAATAGCCAACACATGGTAATGGAGACCTCGGAAGCCGGATCGTTGAGATGATCTAAATCACATGAACTTCAAGCAAGCGTTTTTCGTAGGCTCACTGTGAATGATATTTTACAAAAAAAAACGAGTCCCACACCTTTACTCAGAAACACCTTCTTTATAATTTTTCTTGAGGTGATCTATGATCTTGAACTGTTACTTCTTGCATATGTATATTGGAGCGACCGATATTCCAACAGTCAAAAAGACTATAAATGCGTAAAACCAAAAAGAGTACTTACTTGATTGCTGCATTGACTATCGGAGCAAATTTGGCTGATTTCATAGGCGTGACCAGTGACTCGGCTTTTCGATACGCTTCGATAACTCCGTCCAGACCTCTGCAGATCGGATCGATGTTGAAGTTCTGAAAAGGGAAAATCCAGTAAGCACACTCACTACACCGAAAAGGGGTTGAATTAGCTTAATCGTCTATATAACAATAACTTCCAAAAAATATAATTCCACTTTTTTCGAGATAATAGTGTTTCTTCTGTGCAATAAGCCTGTAAACAATAAAAAACAAATGAGGTGCTTTAGGTCAAGATGAGAATCGCAGCTACAGTATTTTTAATCCATCAATTCGCATTCTAACTTCTATGAAATGCTCCATAGGGTTACTGCTAGTATAAATGCCTTGAATGTTCCCTAAGGTACGGCTGACAGGGACGCCATATAAATGAGTAAAGTCGATAAGTCTGATGGTTATCGGATCAAAGAAACTCACCAAGTGAAACTCGTGGGTCTCGTGGAAAGTTGGCGGAATTTTAGCTCCTAACCCGAACGCGGCAAAAAGTCGATTTCTGTAATAAAACGTAAACGTAGAAGTAACTATTTGGACTATCAAAACTTACGGCGTATAATCCCTGAGAATTCCTCCAATGGCTCGGATTGCTAGATGAACATCAGCATCAAACTTATACTGTTCTCCATCTGTACTCAAATCATCACGCGAAAAATCCACAGCAACTTCGTAATGCAGTTGTGTTCTGAAAAAAAAAGACAAAATTTTCTAGTAAATTTCGAAGCAGAATTGTTAGAGTATGATATGATTGAATATGATTTTGAAATAAAAACGAATATACGATTTTCATGGATTGGTCTTTCCAAAGATCGTTTCGTGAATTATCCCAAGCTTTCAAAGAGGATTTTGAGAAAGAAAAAGAAAAAACTTTCGTTTTTTAAAATATAAATAAAAAGAAGTATGGCTTACCCGCTAACAATATAATCCAAAAACGAGAAAAACGACACATCTGTGAATTTCACCAGTTCCATTCGTCCGCTATTCTCATAACTCTGAAGAAATCCTGACTTTAGAAAACTCTGCGGTTTTCTCGGACCCTATAAGATTGTTTAATAGCTAAAAGCTTTCTACTACGACTATTCGACTAGCTCATCCAAGCAGGATAATGCAAAGCTTCACCTTCTTCTGTTGTTGTTTCACTTCATTAACCACCGTATAGACGTTGTCCGGGCCAGGACCGTATTTCATTTTGGCATAAGTGGTCAAAAATTTTCCTATATAACCTTCGCTACCGTCAACATCTCTATACATCACCCATACTTCTAGCAACCTGGAGAAAAAAATTAGACAAAATCTCCTTACTTGGATTAACTTACCTATTCCTGTTATCTGCAGCATCTTGCGTTCCTAATCGAAATTCTGCCCATTGTGGATGGGAATGGTTTTTTATGGCCTCGCTTTCGTAGAGTAATACTAATTCATCCTCATCCTTTCCTTCCTCTAATCGAAAGACCTAAAATGATTTCATGATTGTCGAGGTGGCGGTCCTAGAAATTTTCTTCCCAAAGAGGATAGAACAAAAATTTTTGGATAAAGCGTAGCGTTGAGCATATCTTCCAGAATGTTTGGTGGGCCTTTCAAATTTTCCGGGCATAACTCCTAAGCTTGAAAAAAGTAGGCCGAAAAGGAGAATTTGAATTCTAACAAGAAAAAAAATTTTGTACAATAGTTACAGATGAAAACACGTTATATGACAATTTGAATTCAAGAATTTGCGGTACTCTCACAGGGGAGGGGAGGGAAGGGAGTAACAGAAAATTTCTGAGTGAAGGGCATGACACTAGCCTTCACGATAGAGGCGGGGGGGGGGAAGAAAGGTAAAGGAGAGATACTTTTACCGCATTTCATTTCAGCAATCTGGCGCCTCACTGAAAACTGCGTATTTGTGCGATGCTAGCATACTATAGACATACGGTAGGTTTTATGGTGGCGATGTGCAATCACACATGTGTACAACAGTGGCGGTCGCAGGACTTCCGTCCGGGAGGGGGGGGCAAAAAAATTCTTCAAATGAAGGTGCGTGGCTTAACCACGCTCTAAAAATTATTTTGAGAAGCTTTTCAAAATTTTTGCAGATGCATAACTCCTGAAATCTAAAAAGGGGGCGTGGCGGCAGCCATGCCTCCATTTTTCTACAAGCTAGCTTGAATTTTCAAAAAATTGTAGAAATTATTTCAATTGTTCACAAGAACAAATCACTTGCACATTTTTATAACCCATGTAAGCAAATTTCAAAAATTTCGCGACCCATTCTCTGAAAGGGGGGCCCTCGGTCCGCCACTGGACCTGACGTGATACAATAGATTCCAGGATTAAGGCATACTACAGTGCCAAAGAGTATGCCTCAACAATCGCATACATCTTACGCTGATCTAGATTTCAAACGGATTTCGAGCATTTTGTTAGTTCATAACATTTTTTGCAGAATTGGTGAACAGTACTAAGTTTTTACCTCTTCTATGTCAAAAACTTACCCGAAAAAAGACGGCAGTTTCATCCCATATCAAATCTTTCCTCTCTAGCGATCTGCCATGCAGTTGTACTATTATCGGCTGCTCCTTTTCTGGCATCTGAGCTGAAATGAGCTCTGTCAACATCGGCGCATATTGACATACCGAGTGCTCAGTCACAAAAACAATGGATTTGCCCCAGACTAGGACAAGCCTTAGATATCTCACCTGAAATAATCACTACTCCAATAACTTGCTGAGATGGCCTTGATGACGACAACGCTTGCGCTATGGAGACAGTTTTGCTAAAAAAAGTGTAGGGTGGAAAATTTTATTGAAATCAAATTTTGCAATGAATTACGTGAGAAAACTCTATTTGTCCCCAAAACTAGCTGCCGTATTGTTTACAGCTTTGTGCTTGAGCAAAATCGGAATCAGAAGCCCCACAGGCATTCAGCCATTTCATTACACCCATGAGAGTATTACCCGCCAAGCAAACACTATAAACAACATCATTTGGTAGCAGATGTGCAGGCACTAACTTCCCGGAACAACAGAATTTTCAAAAATGGAAATTTCTGCAAGATTTTCTGTGAAAAGGGGCATGCAAATAGATTTCAACTGGACTTGGAAAAAGCATCACTAAATAATTCTGTTACGCCTTTTCTTTTCGTTCTGGAAACTTCCGAAGTTTCGCGAAGATCTCGAATTTGATTCGTGCTAAGGGCATGACAGAGCCTACCACCGACATGACCGATGCCGCAAATGCACACATAGCCAGTAAGTTCACGACATTTTATAAGCGTAATCAAACTTTTCCTTTCTTTACGAATTTTTCTCCACTTTTTCTTGTGCTATCACTAGTGTAATATTTTTCTAAGAATTTCGAAATTCTCGAAAAAGAGTGAAAATATTCAGACATTTAAGAAATTTCAAATTCTTGCTTTTGTGCATCGTTCAAAAATAAAACCCGATAGCTAGGAGATAATTCTGAAGATTTTACAAAGAACTTTCTCCTTCAAAATAACAGCCAAACGTAAGGATTAGAAATTATTAGTTTTGTATTACAAGATTTGCTTATGGCTATATCAATGTTATATACTTACAACAAAGATCTCCGCAACTGCAGACCAAATGATCCAATAAGCTCATCAACTTTGAAAATGCAGCTACCGACAACGTCATCGGATCCGGATGCTGTCTCGCCATCATGTAGTCGACAACTAAATGAGGAAATTTTTGTAACTGGTAAGAAAATTCTCATAAAATTCTTACATGTCAATTTTGATCAGCTGAGCCTTCTCGAAAACATATTTGAAGGAAATTTTGTCCTCAAAATCAACACTTCGCGTAAAAACTACGGTTGGATTGCTGGTGCCAAGATGGCGCCACTGCTTTTCATTCTCACTGTCATTCTGCCAAAGTACACAGCAGACTCGCTCGAGATGTTCCAAGCCAACAAGATCACTGAAACAACAGAAGTACTTGAACTTTTGGCACTGAGCCAGACAAATTTCACCGTACCTGACTGCTATGGAGATTTCAATCGTATGCGACATAGGCGGCAGCAATGGCCTCGTTAGCACACGCACTGTTGGAATTGACAGTGCGCGTCTGAAAAAGAGTATAAATAGGAAAATTGTGGAGAATATAGAGAAAATGAATGAATGATAGGAACGAGACTAGATTTACAGTTTCCATAAAGAATTTCAATCGAGGATGAGCAGCTTTTTCCGGATTTACTAGTAAAAATCTTCCAGAAAAGTTTCAAGAGATCTGACGAGGAGCACTCGAATCTGGGAAGTTCTAGACATGGGGTGAAATCGGATGCTGCTGGATTTCTGATATTGGCAGCCTGTACTTTTTGCATATGAGAAAAACACGCGACTCCGTCTTGGATGGCATAGGTGTAAACATGAGCGATGACCACATGTGCAAAAAGTTGTGAGTTAGAAGGATAAAGAGGAACTAATTGCTGAGTGTTCTAATGAAATTTGAATGTGGAGTTTCTGAAGTTTCTACTGTTTGATAGTTAATAACCTTCTTTTCATAAGGTCTTTCATAAAGCTTTAAATATCATTTTGTAGAAATAGCTTCAACATAGGTTCACGCTATGGAGCGAACCGTTCTCACTTCATCACTGGAGGATTACGGTGGAAATTTTGAGAGATTGCGCCATTGAAGATCATATTTCGGCCTCAAATAAGAACTAAAGAAGCTGAAAACTCCTAGACTATGTTCATCGGAGTCACTAATTTTAAATTTGAAAAACTCGCGCTTCACCGATAACGCCTTTCTTTCAAGCTATGCCAAATATGCCGTAGCAACCACTTTCTGAAATTCGTCAAAAATTTGACTATGCCATTTAAAACACTCTGCAACGCGCAAAAAGCTATGCAGTGAAATCAGCATGCATGAAAACCTTGTTACACAATTTTCCAAATCATTTTGGAGTTTTTATTCGATCGTCCCATCTCATATGTAGTGACGTCATCTTCTGCGATTTCCTTCCGTAATCCTACAGTAATGGAGAGGTAACGGTAATTCGCACCATACTGTAAATCTAAGTTAAAGCCAGCTCCACAAAATGGTACCTACAGCTTCTCGAAAGACTTCATTACAAGAGAGTTATTAACAATGAAACGGCAGGCACATTTTTTGGTACCCTGTCGAGACAAGGTGTAGAAAGACAAATATGGAGGGAAGCTTATTTCAATTAATCTTAATTTTTTAGGGCGATATGATGGCAAAAACAAGTACATGCATAATAACCCTCAAGCAGTCCAAAAGAAAAGTTATGAGAATAAAGCTGGAGCTTTTACTGATGATAGAACAGAAAAAATCGTTTTCGTACGTTTATTATTGTCAAGAATCTTGGTCTGAAAATGACATTTGTGTATTAAGACAAGTCCTGACGTATATCTTCAAGAACAAAGTTGAGCATTACTTCAGATGAGTATAGCAGATTACAGAAACTCTGACTCATTAGCTTTTTTAGAGCATGACTTTTGTAAAATTTGAAGCAGAACCTGACAGCGAATAAACTACAGCTGGGTGATGATATATTAGTCTAGACAAAGGAGATAATTCAGCCAATCAGCAGGCTTATATATGACAATGAGAAGTGTATTAAACGGCTGGAATGTGAGAAACACATGAATCCACTTCAAAACTATAGTCGACAATTTCCATTGCCAAACCATGATAATTTAGAGTACTGTAAAGACTGAGGTTAAGAATGCCATTGAAAACGAAGAAACAATATCATGAAGAAGAGAAGGTGCAGGCCGGATTTATCGTGATGAATGAGCAAGCAAGCTTTCATCATATGAGTCATTAGTTTCAGCAAATAGTTTTTAAAACGGTGGGACTTGATTTCAGAAACTTTCAGATGCCAGGAATGGATTTTGTTTTAACTGCTTATTCGCACCCGTAAGCGTCAAAAGAAAAAAAAACTTTTGGATTTTTTGCTTCCTCAGGTAATTGTCTGAACCGATGAGACATATCCAGATAGATATGAACAAGTTCGAAAAAGCTCAGAAAATAAAGAAATTTCCAGTCATTGTTTTCTCAAGTTGACAGAATGTTTTATGCTTTTTCGCATTTCCCCAAAGTCAGACCGAGTCTCTCCTTGACAGCTTTGAAAAATGCAAAACTCCTTGAAAAACTGTTGCAGCACTCGAAACCAAAGTATACTTTGCATTTGCAGATCTGAACCCTGCAGCTGAATAATTCCGGAAATACCGTAGTCCATAATCACATTCAGAAGCCTTGCATTATTTCTGTACTAGACAAAAGTACATTTGCAATTCAGCGGAGCATCGCTTGCAAAGGGAGAGTGGCTAGAAATTCTGAGTACCCCGGAGTGAAAGTTGGCGGTAAACAGAGCGAGCTGTCACACTTGATTATGGCTTTCGGGCTGACAATGCAATTTTTTCAATTATGGAGCTGGGGTGGACAGAAATCAATTAAGCGGAAAACAAATTCAATCAGCCGGTAAGGTTTTTTTTACATGTCTCAGAGATACCACATCAAGGAAAATTTATTCAAAGAGCGAGATGATGAATGTTCCTGGGCGAGTCTAGATGTCAGAAGACGAAGTCACGAGTGCTTGATGAACATTCATTAGCGATGCGTTGTCCCGAGTTAATCAGTCAAAAAGCACACTTTTCCGGCAAAAAGCAAATTCTTCAGTCTTAGGGTTTTTATAGACGTTCATGATGTATTCCGAGATATAGTGCAGCCATTTGTAATAAAATATGTGAACTTGCATATGGCACGCAACACTTCACGACTATGTTGGTGAAAAATTCATGATGGGCGCTCTATTTAGAGAGTTTTCAAGGGATGATTATTTACACCCGTTTATATTCATTCGAATTCGGAAAAGGACAAAAACAAAAAAAAATATCAAGAGTCTGACGGCTTGTAAGCGCATAAGTCGTAAAATACCGCGCACCTTGTGCGGTACACATGCGAGTTGCAACCGATTTGGTCGCACTTTGGTGGAATTTTTCTTGAAGGAAAAGCAATAGTAACACGTGCATACATTACGATTGCACACAATATGCACATTGCGCGTCAAATCTTGGATTTCGCTAGGAATTTACTAAGCATGTTTTTTGTTATTTCCTGAAAGGGAAAAGAGCCAAAAAAGAGGCGTTAGAAGCAAAAATTGTATATAAATTGCAAAAAACTTATGACTACACGAGCAATCTGCAAGTTGCGTGCAATTGCACATATTACTTAGCGGACTGTACACATATGACTGCCTAAGAATATTTCTCATAAAAAATCCCCATAAGATGCATTAATATTAAAATTGACTTCAATTTAGAGAGATTTTACCTACCTTTGCTGATTAGGTAGAAATTTTCTGGTCGAGCAAAAAAGAGAATTTATAACTTCGTAATTTCCGCAGAATTTTCGCGTTTTTCCATACGAGTAAAGAAAAAGGAAAAGAGGAAAGAAGGGCAAGAAGTCATAATTTTTTACGTGTTCCGAAACTCTGAAGAATACGAAACCTACCAGTCAAATGTAATCAATTCTCGGTAGCTATCGCAAATTTTGTAATTTCGTCAAAAAAAAGATCAGCAATAATAGCGATAGAATTTTCTTTGACTCATAGAAAATTTTTTGTGATTTAGATTGCCGCATGAGCTAGAATTATAGTAATAGCAGCAACGAAGTGGTAAAAGTGTGCATACATGTATCCACTTCGATATCCGATCAAAAATTATTTTTCTAGAAAAAAAAGGGAAGAGAGAATTCGCCAAAATTAGCATGTTCACAGCAGCTCACAACTATGAAAGAGCTAGAAATAGACATTAAAAGTGATTAAAAAAATTTCGGTTACTAATCTGCCATATTAGGCACCGAGCAAAATTGAGACGATTTAATTCTTTTCCAGTACTTCCACGACTTCGAAAGGTCGGACTTCACAGACTTTTCTATTACGTGCACTTGAAAATGCAAAAAGGTGCTCGAATTCAAACTTCCACTTGATTTGCTGCATACTTAGTGCAAACAACTCCAAGTATAGTTTTTTAAGGTGGCAAGCGAGAAGCACTTCAAACTCAAGAAATCTGGATTCAATCTCAAAGTTCAGTGGAAAGAACGACCAAGAAAGTGGCAATATCTCGAAGAAGGCGATGCAGAAGGCGATAGAGGGTTCACAGAAAAGCAATTCCACACAATCACTCCCTTGAGATGTTGAACTTGTAAAAAACACCATAATTTCTGACGAATGAAAAGCTGTGCATTGCAGAAAAGTTCTTTTCAAGTCGAGTTCAAAATGCGAACTTGTACTAGGCTGTTGCATAAGTTCTGTCCGATTTTTTTGCCTCATGTTTGAAGCAGCTGTTCTAAGAGAATTTCATCTCTAATTCGATACGGTTGGAATCATTGAAAAGTGCTTTCCTTGCGCTTTCTAAAGCATACCAGAATTCAATAAAATTCTTACTGTACGGAGATCACAGGCCTAAAATCTCTAAGTGGCCGAGGTACGTTCTATCCCTAGAAATATGTCCTTGCGAGGATATCTCCACAATGCGCCCTTCAAGTCAGGTTCTTTCATTGGCTTCGGAATAAGGGTATGGAATGCCAGTATATGCAGAAGTTCGGTCCCATGAAGAATACGTCTTGCTAGTGAAATTTATCCTCGAACATAATTTTTTGGTATAGATGTTTTACAAGCAATAACTTTCTGCGAATAGAAGTAATCGACAAGCTCAAAGTTGGAGGTGCTAGGGCAAAGCAAGAGCTAACAGGGCCCATCCACCAATTCCTTTTCGGCGCTCACGTCAGTTGTAAAAGTTCGTAGTTCATAAATAGGCATGCACACATGTGCTGAAGCGAGGTCAAAAAGTGGCTAATTTTTTGTTCGGTCAAGAAAATCTCTCGGCAGCGCAAACCCTATGGGCTCTTTTATGTTGCATAATAATCTACGAAAATTTCTCTATCCATCCATTATTAGAAAAGATGCCTATCAATTTTCATAAGGGAGCGTTACCATGTCAAAAAAGACAGATTCGAAGAAAAACGCTGCGAAGTTTTTGCATTCTTGGTTCTTCCTTAACAAAGATTTGCGCAGATCTCAATATGCATTTTTTAGC